TATTTTAATGATAATTTATATCAGCAGAAATATTGTGCGTAAGGTCTTCAATCAAATGCACACTGGCTGCTAGTAATATATTATATTAATGAACATATTATATCTACATCAGTGGTTCTCAAACTTTTTTTTGTCTGCGGAGCTCTTATGTTTTCAAAAAAATTTATGGAGCCCCGAAAATCAGGAATTTATATTCAAGACAACAGTGATTATTAATATTTCTTATTGAAAAAAACACACAGTTCAAAATTTCATTTTTTTTAAAGTTCGGATTTTGTCATTTGTTATGAAAGCTTTGGTCATTTTAAGTTGTATTGATAGATTTACTTAATTTAATTTTGTGAAGTTACCAGCCAAGTTATGAAGTCACAATAACCAAATTTCATCAGAAGTCTTAGTTGTAAATAAAATTGATGTCACTAAAACGTGACTCGTTGCGTAATTCATGTTACTAGTATTTTTCCTTAATAACTAAGAAATTTAATAATATTTAAATTTAGATAATTAATATATGTCCACGGAGCCTCTAAACTTCTTCTGTAAAGCCCTGGAGTTCCGCGGAGCACAGTTTGAGAACCACTGTTCTACATCGATCAATCAGAAATTAATAATTATCTTTAAATTGTTATTATCAAAAAACTTCACAACAAAAAAGCTCCTGGGTACGACCGGATCACAAATTGCACCACCAAAAACCTACCAAAAAAAACGATTATACTACTTTCGTATATCTACAACGCAATGTTGCGTTTATCATATTACCCCTTAACCCTCTAACCTGAAAATTTTCCGAAATTATACTAATTCCTAACCCAAAAAGCCTCCAAAAAAAGTTACCTCATATCGACCCATAAGCTTACTACCAACTCAATTAAATATGTTCGAAAAGATCTTACTAAAAAGATTTATTCCTCTGGCTATCACAGCAAACATAATCTCAGATACACAATACGGTTTCAGACCATACCACTCAACGATCCATCAACTCCACAGAGTAGTCGACACTATATCTTCGTCACTGGAAAAAAAACATTACTGTGCAGCCATCTTCCTGGACATAGCACAAGCGTTCGATAGAGTCTGGTTTGAAGGCTTACTGTTCAAACTAAAAAAAATTTCTGCCTGCGCTTTATTACTTACTTATAAAACCGTACCTTGATGACCGTACTTTCATCGTACAACAGAACTCATGCTACTCAAACTACTTTGACATTCTTGCCGGAGTTCACCAAGATAGCAATATTGCCTCTTTTCTATATAACATATTCACTCACGACATTCCTAAAAAGTCCTATTCCGAACTTGGTTCCTACGCGGACGACACGGCAATTATAGCAACCAATGAAAATCCCATTATAGCCTCAAATATGAAACAAAAACACCTTAATATTATACACCTTTGGACAAAGAGGTGGAAAATCAAAGTCCTCCTTCATAACATTTACTTTAAATAAAAATACATGTCCTCAAATTTTAATGAACAACATTCCAATCCCCATTTACACATAGGTAAAATACCTCAGTCTTACCCTTGGCAATAAATTAACCTGAAATTCTCACATAGTTGATAAAAAAAAGCCCTTAATTCCCGTCCACACCTCCTAAAACCATTATTAAGATGTAAAATGAACAAATGAACATCAAATTATTAATTTACAAGGTCTCTACTCAGGCCACTATGGACATACGGCATCCAATTATGAGGAGCCGCCAAATCCTCCAACACCAGATTAATACAAGCCTTCCAGTCCATCTGTCTCCATCTAGTTTCTTCTGCACCTTGGTATATAACAAACTCCAACCTCCAGTAAGATTGAAAAATACAAATCCTAAATCAAATCTCTAAAACATACTACATCAGATTTCATAATAAACTCCAATCACACACTAATCCACTAATCAAATAATTATCATTTAAAACACTACCCGACAACACTCAACCAATACCAAAAAGAAAATGGTGTAGGGATCTTTTACATTAATAATCATTAGTCAATAACTAACACACGTGCTGGATGTTATCAATGGATAACTTCCCAACCTTATTATTCTAAAATATATAGAATTATTATTAATTATTTTAAAATGTTTTAATATTCACAGATTATTATAAGGTAAAGCACATATTTATAATTATTATATATCTATGAGGTAAAATGATCAAATTAAGATCCTATGAAAGTGGAACAGATCTTTCAATGTACTATCTACTGAAACCACCAACCGCAAATCTCTAACCTTAAAAATATATAGAAGTATATTTAAAAATTTAAATATCAATGTTTAAACTATAAAAAAACATGAAATGATATTTTAAATAGGGTAGTCATGATGATGATGAGTACACTTTTACTTAATTAATCCTAAGTTCACTTAAGTGATGATAAGATATCTGGTTGAAAATTGGTATTAACCGCCATAATTGACGCTAACTAACACTAGTTATATTTTTAAAAGAATCGAAACTGTTATATTTTTAACAGAATCAAATTTTTCTCACATTAGTATAATACCAAACTTGAAAATATTTTAGCTATTTTTTTAAAACCAAAAATAAACCGAAATCTAAATTTTAGTTTTCTTAGAATCGACATCGAAACCGGAACTGTTTTTTTTTTTCTAGGAACCGAAACGGAACTGGAACCGTACAATTCATCACGGTCCCTGGTTTGAACATTTCATGAATTATTTCAGTATTTAAAAAAAAAAATGTTTTTCTTTTATATTTGTTTAATTTTTATGTACATTTCACATTTTTTTGGTAAAACAAATTAATAAGACTCATTAATCATTAAATTAATTTTATTTTGTTTTATTTTTAATTTTTAAAGTTTATTATTATTTAAATTTTATTTGTCAAGAATGTTACATGTTAAGATTTAAATACAGTAAGATTCAACTCTATAAAATTTCAGTATGTTAAATTTCAAAAACAATAAGGGTTGATAAATAATTAATGTAAATAATAGGTACTTACTATATATACCTACCATATAGATGGTAGGTAACTACTCTATTTTTCCATAAATAATTATTACATTGAATATCTGGATATCTAATCACCATATATGACCATGATTATTATGTGTAAAGCAGGGCTTAAAACCGTTCCTAATAAAGTTAGTAATCGGCTCTTGTAGGAGCCAAAAATTTTTTAAAACCGGTAACCGGTTATCGTTTAATTTTCATATTATGGTTACCGATAACCGTTTCTTTCAGGATATTTCAAAAACCATAATAACCGTTAATGGTTTAAAAACCAATGATAAGTTTTTTTTGGTAATTAGTAACCGGTTAAAATCGTTTTTTAAAATCATATTTTCAATTTTTTAATCATATTTTTAAAACACTTTATTTAGGCAATTCGTGAGTTGAAAATACAACTTTTAGTATTACAAAATTAAAAGTTTAATATGCTTTGGTCGATTTCTCTCAATTTCAATATTTATTTTTTCAAACTGCTTTAAAGTTTAAAACATATTATGATCCAGATAATGATAATCAAAAAACTAAATTGCATAAAAATTTTTTATTGATATTATTTTCTTATTTATAACGGTAAAAAACTTAAATGAAATATAATAATTTTCTAAGATGACACAAAGATTGATACATTGCCACAGAACTTTTTGTGGTATAGTATATAATACAGTACCCCAAAACCTGGATGAGCAAATACTAAAACGACAGTATTAAAATATCATAAATAACTAAATAGATTAAGCCTCTTTTCCACCAACTATTTTGTAATAGGAAACAGCTCGCCACGATGACGACGTTTATGACGATAATATAATTTATAGTTATACCTATACATATATATATATGATATTCACAACAGATAAGCAATACTCGACGGCCATTAATTGGAGAAAAATATTTAAAAATAGCTGGGAAATTAAATTCAACTATAATAGTATAATGTATTCATGACATAATTAGGTAGATAATTAAAAAACTACAACTAGCGATAAGCAACGTAATTATATTATTAAATAGGAAAAAATCGTAAAAAAATATCTCTCTGATGTTCTTATAAAATATCGTATAAGCAGATGACAAACACTGTGTAATCAAGTAAATATCTGTCGGAAAGTGTGAATATAAATGTCGGTTTATTATTGATTTTTTTTCTTTTTATCCCCCCTCTATACGTAAAGATAAGTGAAAATGTGATGATTTCAGCTTTAGCTGTGCACTTTTAACCATTGCCGCCCTTAACACTGTTGAAATGGTAAAACTTAGTCGATTATAAATTGCGTCACAGTTCGCATATTGCATTTAAATGCCATGACTTGACTCGTTTATTATACGCGTTTAGAAGTGAAAAAAGGAAAATTTTATATATTTTCCGAAGAAATCTGATTGGGGTATTTTGTTTTTTTCTTCTTCTAACAAGACACCACCACATTATTACTCTTGTGTTCGAAATCATCAATAGTGAAACAGGCCAACATAATTATTTTCATTCACTCCTCTTTTACTCAACGACCCTGATTCATCCATGAACCACCCATTCGAATAAATCGGTATTATTGAATCAACACATTTGGCGTTGAACCAACGATTACCACAATTGTCTGTTCATCTTGTGAAACGGCTTATTTCATTTTTAAAGACTTTTACTCGATAACAGCTTTCTAAGAAATTCACGATTAGCGCTTTCAAGGTGAATCAAGAGGTGTTTATTTCAGTGGTCATGCGAACGATTTCTGTATACAGCGGAAAAAAATTAGTATCCCCGTACGTAATCTTTTCCTTTCAAAATCGACCCATTATAATTCACTATAATGATAGGGTATTTATTTATTTTTATTAGTCTTCGCTAGTGACCAAAACTAATCGGGTTCGGTGCAACGGTCAGCATTACGTAGTTCAATGGTAAAGTAAGGTGAGAGAACGCGCTAAAAGCCTTGACAATATTTGAGTGGATCAAAACATTACTACCGTCATCGCTGTTAGAATTAATGATATACACAATCATACGTGGTTCGACTTACCGACATCTCCACGTATGGTATGTCGATGATGGTTAGTTCAGCTTCTTGTCCGTTTATCATCACTCTGATGGTCCGGCAAGCGCAGTCTTCATCTAGAAAATAAATATTAGAAGTTAATACAACAGCCCATCAATTATATCAAAACAATTATGTAGGCACGCTCGGAAAATACATCAGTATAGCGGCCATATCAACACATTCGCCGTGCCGCCGTCGCGCAGTAATGATAATTAACTCAGCATAATATCTGTATATCAGATTTATTTTTCTTCAGTTTTAAATTTTAATGTAAATACAAAATATATTATGGTCAGCACTACTTTACAATCCTAGAATTGCTCATGGCCCATTTCCACCCAAATCAATTATACCGCCCCACAAAATCTATTCATCGCTTACAGGGAAGAGGGGGTATCCTCCATATCTGGAAACCCACTGATTTTAAAAGAAAAATACTTAATATATTGATATTATCATTTATTTAGTAATATATTATTTTTATTTTATTATAAAATAAATGGTATTTTTATATAAATTCCAAACTGAAATTAATTTGATTACATGTAGATTCGACGTCATGTTGCAAGATTTATCTACAGTTCATCAGGAATATCTAGAAATTATTTAAAATTTTTAAATAAAATATTTTTATTTTATTACTATTCTAATACTAAAAAATTCAAAATAAATTAGTTATATCTTAGCTAATATATTACGTATTACAAAAAAAGCCATTTATACATAAATTTGTTAAAGTTTATTTTATTTTATTTTATTTTATAACTTTGATAAGTATTAGGCTTCAGTTAATTATTTAAAAAAAAATATTAATACTGTCGAGTCGCAATTACTCGAAGTTAAGTATTCACTTAAATATTTTACTATAAATTTACTTTAGTTTCAAAATTGTTAATGGTATTATAATGATAATATAAGAAGGTACATTTTAAAATAAATGTTAGTAATCAATATTATATAATAATCTTCAATTTCTCTAATACACCATATACCCCCATATACCCGGGTTTCAAATGTAATATTACTTGTCAATTCCTAAAAAAGTAATTTGAAAAAAGTAAGCTAATTATTTACATCAGTAAATAATTCTAAAAATTTTATTTTTGAGATTCATTAAATGTCGGACAACCCCCGAGAAATAACCCGAAATACGCTTTGGCTGTATTATACTATAGCTATTTTACGCTTAATCGGGGAAACGTGTAACGCGCGTTGTGCTTAATATGACTGGATGAGATTTTTTTAACAAGCCGATTACACTGTGCGTATAACATTATAATATAAAATGTAGGCGAAAATTTTGGGTAGTTGTTATATTGAAGTCGCAATGAGATCATATATGTTTTGATGGTAGCATGTGATAGTATTAATTGAGTAGGCGAGGGACTTATGGCAATATCCGATTACACGCATAGTAACGTACATTAAATTTATCGTTGATTAAATTACATTAATCTTGAATCCTTGTGTCTAATATATACTATGCATATTACGATTTCCGTTAAAAACTTAGGGGTTTTCCGAACTTTCTGAATTTATCTAATAAGTATTTGATTTCATGACGAATACAACATTATACTGCAGACTGTAGCCTACAGTTGTTATAGCTGTTTATTGTTTATCGCACTATTTTAATCCTATACCTCATACTTGGCAAATTTCATAATAGGTTTTAGTGTATCATTTCGAATTTTATCTTGAACTTTATACAGGTATCAAATATAAAATAACGTTTAATGTTTTCAATTTATGTCGAAACTTCATTTTTATATTTCGAAAAAACATTGTTGTACTATTAAAATCCTGTAGCGTTTGCAATTGCGGTCTAATAATAATATCAACATCTAGATTTTTCATGATGATGCGTGAACCTAAACATAGTTTATTGGAATTTTGGTTTAATATTTTTAACCGACTGTTTACTCTTTTGTTAGACATAATTTAACGAACACTATGTGTTGTTAAAATCATAAATCCCATCATTCCATCACAAATTATAAAGCTTTAAAAATATAATATTTACTTTTTATGATTATTTTAAGTATATTTTGAACACATAATTTTTTAATTGATCTTGTAAAATAATTAACAATCGATTTCAACAAGTATTGTTTTTTTTTGCAAATAAACAACAGCCGATAAAATGTAAGTTTTGTTTAAATTCTTGATCGAATCTAAAATATTGAAGCTGTTTCTTAATATCATAAATATCCGTTTATATAATATAAATAATTTATCATGTTTTATATGGTAGGTGATTTATATTCTGCATAACATTATTTGCAAGTGCGTCCGCCATCACAACAACTAACGTAAATAGTTAATAACTAACGAAAGAATACATTTTTGTTTCGTTAAAGAGAGCTAACAAAATGCGATTGTAAATTAAGGTATAAATAAGGTATGAAGTTCTTATTTTTGATTGAAAAAATATTAATACGAAGAGGCCAAAAAAAATCTGAAAACAGTTTTAAATAGATTTCTAAATTTCTTATTTTTTATAAATAACAATTTTTGAAAGATTTCTTTTCTAAAAATTTATAAATTGATCAATAACAACAAGGGAAAAAATATATTTTAACAGAAAATATTAAATGTTATTTTATAATAAATTAATTATATAAAAAAAAAAAAAAATATTCCGGGAGATACTGGTGCTTGATGTTACTGATTATGAGTGTCTTATTAAGTTGGCTTCGTATTTACTTTTATACATTTGAAAACATTTTATACGTTTAAATCGTTGCATTGAAAAATTATTTTGTGTAAAAGTTAAAAGACACTTAATTATATTATATGTTTTATAAATAAGTTATAATCTTATCTAATGTAATAATGGTAACTTTAATGTATTGTCATGGAGTGAAACAATTGCACATGTTTTGTAAATACAAAGTGTATGCATTTTTTATCTCGGGAATCCGAATAAGACATCATAATTACAGATTAAAAACAAAAGAGACTATATAATATTCAAATTGTAAGTAATTTGGGATGTAGTACTTGTTTTTTTTTTTAGATTTGGAAGCGACGATGAACTGACTTATAAAAATACTATAATTTTAAATTGAACCATTTACTATTGCTTGGAAATATTTTTTAATTATTTTTTTTTTTTTTTTTAATCAAGAGGGAAAACATCGAAAAAATAAACGAAAGATCACTTATTTATGTTTTTTGGAGTTTATTTTCTATCTAAAATGCTGTTGATGACAACATTTTTAACGTAGATTTCTTATACAAAAACATTGATAAAAATTAAAAAAATAGTTATTAAAAATTCTATTCTGCGAATTCTTGGTATCGTATGCACAGTATTTATATTGATCTAAATAAATACTAATCGAAATTAATTATATATTGAAATACTATTAATACTGTCTATATATTGTGTTATTCGTTAACTAGGTAAAATTTAATTTGCGTTAAAAAAAAAAAAGGTTAAAGTTCGAATTTTATAAAGTATTTAAATAGTTCAAGTGAATAAGTATAAGTTCAGTTCAGTATAAGTTGATTTAAATAATTAAAACTTGGTTAGCGTTCGCTTCGATCTCCAAAACTAAATTTTGATCTATTACTAATATATCTATCTAATAGTTAAGTTCAAACAATGATCTCTGTACAATTTTATTTTTGTGATAATTTTTGAGAGGATATTTAATATATATATATATATGAAAATAATTTTTAGTTTAAAAATGTTATGTATAGGGATTTGAAAATATAATTTAATAAAAACAGGAAATAAAAGATTTTTACTTAGAAACTTATTATTTTAAGTTATTTAATATTTATGTATAAAATATTTGTTAAACATTATTTTGTTTGGATAGTCATAAAAAAAAATGTTCCTTTGTTTTATACATAATTGAATTAAGAATTCAACTGTTGGGTAAAATTCTATCTTATTGTTATTGTTATGGTTTGTAGCTGAGTACATCTTAGTTAATTTAATAGATAGAGTATTTTAAATTTATAACATAATTAAATTAAAATGTCGTTACATTTATTTGAATTCTTGAAATTTTGAACTTTAAATATAAAAATAAAGTTTTAGCCTTGGTAATGTAAAGTATTATCTGCATTTTATAAATACTTATACAATTCTTGTTAAATTAGCCAAGTTTTTACTAGTAGACAAAAATATTTATGTTATTTTTATTCTGTGAATAAACGAACTGAATGTTCAAAATCAGTGGAGCTGCTCCAATAACTTATTTCTATGTTTCTAAAACATTAATTGCAATTTTTAATTTTACCTTTTATATTATTTTTTTATTATGTTATATAATTGTTTTAATATTTTATTGTATCGAGGTTTATAATGAATTTCGTAATATATTAATTTCCATTGTAATTTTATAGTATTTCATTTATATACGGTAAAATATAATCTTTTTATTCATTATAAAACACAACAATTATAAAGATTTATTTTAGTTATATTTTATTTAGTATATACGTAAGTATTATAATCACCAACAGTAAAATACCAAAGAAATAAAGCGCGACTTGAAAATCTTTTGATTTGTATGCTATTGTTTGGATTCAGATGGTGAGAAGGGATAGTATTGATTAGAGTTTTAATTTTTATATTTTTTCATGTTCCTTGATCTTGTTGAAGTATTGAGTTAATTTTAAATTAAAAACAACTAGTTCCGATGAAATCGAAATTCTTCAGTTTTCAAAAAGGCAAAAATTAAGTGTGAAAAATTATAAAACCGAAAAATAAATTAGTTTTTTAAACAAACAATTTTTCGTGTTCTAGATATAATTACAAGTGAAGAATTATTGTTTAAGCTGGATTGAATTCATATTCCCTTTCTCTCTTCGTACCTTTCATACTATGAATTGCATTGAAAAATTGAAAAGCTATATAATACATTTTATTTTAAATTGTAAGTATTATATTAGGCTTAAATATTTAATTTAGTATATGTTTACTTATTTACATTTATACTAAAAATATGTGTAAAATCTTAAAGTTGTCATTTTAACACATTTTAAAGTATAAAAATGTGTAGTTTTAATTTTACTTATCATTGTCAATATTTTTGGTTAACCTATCTCATGCTAACACTAATCGATTCGATGGTTTTCCTACACGTGCGCATTTATTGCGCTCGATTGGCCCAAACATGTAAGACAAACATGGATATACCATGACCAAGCGGAAAATGGACATCGTTTGGCCATATTTATAGAAAAAATAAGCCTTTTGATTTGTCTCGGACATTCTGACGGTATCAATGGAAAATGTGGCTATTGTACGATTTCTTCTTTAAACTTTATACTCAAAATGGTTGTTTTAAAAAACATTTTCGGTGATGTTTTTGATGATCATGTATTATTGGTTAAATGTAAAATAGCACGAACCATCGGAATATAATGTTTGTACGAATTCGCCGAAAACATCAGGTTTCTTGACCCAATGTGAAAAATGCAATAAGTGTCATTTTTGATGGCTCAAGTGCTCTCTAGAGAACATTAGCTCCAGTACACGTTATAGTAAATGTATACACGTTGGTTGGTTTTAAGATGTACTGCAAGGTTATGTGCTGTTCGTGCGCTACTCTTGTTCTCAATATTACTTTTTGCTGTGGTTCATCGTACTGTTCTCGAAATACTTTTACATGACTTTTTTAGTCATGATTCTTTGAGCTGTGTTTCTTACCGCAATTCGATTGAAATTATCTTTTAGCACATTTGTGTTGTGTCATTTTGATACTTCGGTTATGGAGGTTAGATTTTTTTGGTTACATTAAAATAAAATAGCAATCTTAAAATGAGAAGCAACAAATAATACATAGTAGAGTAAAAAAATAAGACAAAAATTAGTAAGTTCTTAACACTCATAAATAAATAGTTTATATATAAAAATAAATAAATATATAATTGTCTAGCTTGGAGTGTTGTTATACATATATATAGTGTATGACCGGTTTTGAATTAAAAATTCATAATCTATTATGTATTAAGTCTATATAAATAATATATCTATCCGTTTTCCCACATTTTTGGTAGTACATTTTATTGTTACCGAGATAATAATAAGTGTCAGTGAACTAATTCCACCACTAATTGTTATACTTGTATAATTATATCTGCCATCTAACTTTTAGAACTTACACATAATTACAAACCTTTGCTTTGTAATAAACATTTAATTTGTAACATAAATAGAAAAATAAATAAGCCCATCACATAGATTGGACGAAATCACATACATGGAGTGTAATTTTATCAAAATCGGTTAAGTAGTTCCGTGTACAGTTTTTAATAAGGAGCCTCACCACCACGTCTTTTTTTTAACAAAAACTACTGTTTCTAATTCCCTTAGGGAATTTTTGTTTTCCCTTTTATACCTATTATTTTTTGTTTGTTTTATATTACAGCCTTTATGTTAGGTCCCATATATTTTTGTCGTAAAGGTGACCGAGATTCAATAATTTATATACATTATACTCTAACAGTCAGGATGATTTTTTCCTATTGATATGACGACTAAATTTGAATACCTAAACAAAAATAGTACAAATTACGTTGCAAACTATTTGCAGCTATTTTTTTTTTATTAATTACTGTTGTACATAAAAAACATGGGTACCTAATTTTCGATAAACTATAATTTAATAAATATGGTAAACTGCGATAACGATTACGATGAACGACTACTTGGATGATGGTACGGAAAGAAGCGATACCCGTATTGACGCCACACACTAATAATCATTTACAATTAACACATAGATCTCGGGTGACGACGATGAGATTAGAAATTGCTTAAATGTTGCTCCTTAAATAAATGCTATAGCGAGGCTCCTTAATTATGTTCTGGTAATTTGTGTAAAATATTATCCGTAATATTCGTTTTGTGCTTTCTCCACAATTGTTATAAGTTAGAAAGTTTACATGTCGCTATTAGTATAGTGAAAATATCTTTCACCTTTGGTACTGATTTAATTGTACAACCTATTTTAGAATAAAGTCCCAATGATTGTCATTATTTAACAATCATTTTGTCTCACATGCTTCTCGAAGTGTCAACAATTTTCGATTATTAAGCTATTTGAGCTTGACACACGCACATGGTATAAAAGCATTCTCAAACAAAAACATTCCTTATTATTAACATGAACCGTGTAAACTCAACCAAAGGCATCTCCAGATTGATAAATATGTATATGAAAAATTGTTCAAAAAACCCGTTCATTTGTATCGTGTGGGGAAAAACATTTTTTATTGGACCAAATTATGAATCTTAACTACTCTCGAATTAACTTAATCGCAACATTTCATGAAAATCAGTTTAGCCTATACGAGAAATTACGAGTGACACTCTTGAATAAAAAAACGTACTCATATATATATATAAAGATATGTTGTATGTTTAATCGTATGTAATAATGGATAGTACAATTTCTATTTCGCTGGAATAGTAATGATACGACCACAGACATTGTTGTACTAGGTATATACGATGAAAAAAATTCCACCTCTATATGCATTTTTTTCTTTTTTCGTTCCACTTATTCATCGTGACAACACACGTTTTTTGCCGATTAAATTTACCGTTCAAACGAAGTCACTGTCTAGAAGACGGGGCGACGTGATTGTAAAAATGTCATCACTTACCTATGGAAGTGTCGTAAACACATATGTAATCGGATGTGGAAAACTGTACGGATATCGTGGTTTTGCCGACTCCCGGAGCCCCTAGCAACGCCACCTTGTACGATTCCACCGTGTCATTGGCTTTGAACTTATTTATGAGCGCCGTGCTGAAAAAAAAAAAAACATACATCTTGGATGCTAACGTCACGTTGTATGTTGCGAGAATAATCTCTAGGAGATTTTCGAGTAATATGACGTTTTTGAATACCTAATAGTTCTAAACATTATTATAGTTTTTTCTTTCTCGGAAATAGTTCGATGAGGTGAGGGGAGGTGTCATTCCGAATTGTTTTATAATACTCGTACTATATATGGGAGAATTACGTGCGACGTACGGCGGCGATTCGCTATTTGACACGATGTGATCAACTGCTAAGTCCAAAGAGAGTGACATTTTTTTATTCAATGTTAGCTCGACGTTGTTTTGACAAAATTCAACCAGGAAGTTGATTTGTTTGTTTGTTATTTCAATGGCTTGTTTAAACTCACTGAAGATAATAGACTAGGTGCAGGTAAGATACTAGATTGGACAATATTACCAAATAGTTTAGTTTGGTGCTATACAATCGCTATCTTAATAATTATTTTAATTATTTAGCTTGCTTAAATACGAATATTTAAGATTCGTATTAAAGATCTATTTTTCAACCTCACTTAATACATTTCATAAGTATGGCCCTTTTTGAATATCATGTTGATGATGTAAAATTATATTATTATTATTTAAAGATATCGTATACATGTACTCGTTATTATACATAACAAAATATAATATAAATATAAAATATATATAATAATTATAATTAATATAATATATTATTATTTATTTGGAACTTTGGTATACTATATAAAAAATATAGAGTGCAATATAAAATCAAAGATCATAATATACAACTCGAATTTTGTTTTCATCAACTTCCGAAATCGAATAATCGTATATGTCTTGTTCTATAATGTATCCTCTATTTTATGAGACTGTGAAACAAGTTTTTGAATACAATAATATTTATTTTATAGCTATCAGTTATGGTTTCCACGTAATCAGAAAGAGTTTTGATAACTTTTCCGAATAATTTGAAAAATTCTGAGTGATTATTATGTCGAATTTTAAAAACATAAAATTGTTCTTGAAACGAAGTGAAAAATAATAATACTTGTACTTCAATATTTAAACTTCAAATGTGTTATTCAGTGTTTTACGGGTGATTTTTCAATAATTGAATACAAATATTTTGTCTCTAACATTTTACTTAATTATTATTATATTTGAAAAACATGAAAACGTACATATTGTCACAACTTTATTTATTATAATCTTAAATTATTATTAAGAATAAAAGAAATAATAATAATAATAATTAAAGAAATTATTAATTAATATTAAATTATAATCTTTATTTCATAAACTATATGTGTAATTTTTTTATTGTACGAGTATTACATTCTAAAATTGTATAGTCATTCAAAGTTTTATTATTATTATTTTTAATACGATAATATTAATGTAGTTGAATATTTTATTCATCATATTGATTTTTATTTTTTAAACTAGGTATAACAAGTATACCGGTTGTTGGACTATGAGTCCTATTTTTGAAGAAATCTTAGTAGTTGTATTTAAGGAAAACCATATAAAGGATAAAATTAAAAATTTCACTTATCATTTAGTAGTTGGTATAACGTATGTACAAACTTGGTAAGTACTCGAGATAAAATCCAATAAGATTAATAATACAAACAGAATGTACACTCAAGTCACAAAATATACATATTATTACAAATTATTAACGTAGAAATATTATGATACTGGTATGCATTTTAATAATAATGCGTTTATTACAAAGATAAAGATGCTAATGTATTATAGTTTGCTTTATATTTAATAATGGTAATAATAAGTGGTAAGAATCGGTAGTGGTTCATGTTAATCCCTTAAATATTTAAATATTTTATACATCGTGAATCAAAATCAAGCGAATTACAAAACGAAGATCCCCATAGATATAAGATTACGAGTAACATAAATATAGAAGGATAATGGATTTTAATATCAATCTGTTAAGTACCTTTATAGGCGAATATAAAGTTAAGTAAAGAGGCAAATTATTATGCTCACTGCACTGTATACTCTCAAATTATACATTAAAACTCCCTAATTGGTTTTTATTCATTAAGAATTTATTACTGGAGTTAATAAAAATCTTAAGATTGTTTTTCTAAAAGACGACTAAAGTAATTTATTGTAATATTATTGTCACTGAAAAATACTGTTGAGTTATATTATTAATAAATTATGGCGAACCATTCAATTTTGAATTTCTATAACTATTGATACAAAATGTCTTTAAATAAATATCATTGTTATCGAGTCATTTCAGTTGACGCTTCCAGAAATAGTATTACATTATGGTCTCGTTATTCAGCTTCATTATTGTTTTTATATACATGATACTTAAACGGGCCATAGTGACAATACTAAGCATTTAGTCGTTTAGCGACATTGAAATCAGTTTTAGCGTAAGATGAGACCTTTTTTATTATTATAATATCGAAATAGTGCGCGTAATTGCACAATGCATTATCATGTATACACTAGAGAGAGCACAAAATAATCAATATATAATAGATCGAAACTTTGTATCTATATTTTACTTTTTGGTTTATACACAGTAAAAATATTTTAAAGTATGAAATTAAAGTGTACTTTTAATACAGTTTGAAAACGAAATAAATGAATGAACGAGATAAAAAACAATTAGTAATTTAATGAAATAGTGTATCGTAAGTAACAACAAACGACTTAGATTAGGTTATGCGAACAAACTTAAACGTATATATTATGTGTATATGTGTGTCAGGCGCAGATCCAGCCTGCATTAACGGGAGGGGTGGATTTTAAATATGTATACATATTTACTACTTAGATACCTACTGGTAAATGTAATATATATATATACATATTAAATACATGCAATAGTACTTAATGCAATAATTCCTTATTAATTATAGTGAATACTTTTTTTCATAAACTGCATTGAATGTCGTTATTTAATTATTTACAATTTAGAATTACCCTTTTATTATTTAAAAGTATATCGCATCTACTTTTAACTGTGACGCACATTAAAAATTTATAAATGGGGTGTGTCGTAAATATACGTAATATATGCATATCGACAGTTTTCGAGTTTCGAACTGGGTGCTTTGCGTTTGGGCGAGTTTTTATAAATTGCGATATGTTTGGGCCATTTATAATAATTCTTTTGGGCGAGTTATTTTAAAATATAGTAATGTATTTCGGCAAGTGATTTTAAAGTATTGTAATGTGTTTGAGTGAGCTTTTTTATTATTTTGTAATGCGTTTGGGCGATACACAATTAATCCATTTTCATTCTTATTTTGACAGAACTGTCCGTGACTTCAACGGGTATGATTAAAAATGAACTATAATTATACTATAATAATCATGTTTTTATATGTTAGTTCAATTAAAATGTTTATTCTGAATTTGTTTTGCTTGAGATTTTATTCCTATGCGCTTTATATACTTTTAAAGGTTAATATCATATGGTATATACTCTCCCTAAAATCTTGTCTAATTTATAACATATTGAAAAACCAATAATTAATAACAATACATTTTATACCTGTTCAAACACATTATAAGGAATTCGTTTAACAACATTGTTTTTTTTATTCGGGAAAAAAAGTAAATCGCCCAAACAATTAAATAAAATAAAATTACAGTGTTTGATTTATTTTTATCGACGCTTGCTCGCCGCTCATCGTCCACCGTTCACCGCGCAACGCTTTTCATTGTGCATAAGGTCTTACGCTTTTTAAAACCGTTGATAGAATTATCTTTATTCAATGGCCGACGGTTAATACAACAATTTTAGTACTATATGGGTAGTAATGAACGGATAACCAATAAATAGAGATATATTTCAGACGGTTAAATATGGAAGATATTTTTCGGTGCATCTGAATTGCATGCCAAAAAAATAAACGTAAATTGGAATGTTCAAATTGCATGCCGTGTACCTCCGAGTTTATTTATCATGAACTAATGTGTATAACTTTTTGACTTTTCTAATTTTTTAAAAATACAGATGAATAGAAGCTGATTAGTTTTTAGATTGAAATATTTTTATATCCAAGTAAATATTTTACCAATTTGGAGAAGGTGACACCGTGAATAATAAACATTAAATAAAATTATTGTAGTTAAGGGTAATCAAGTGAATATATTTTACATTTTTACATGGCACTTAAAAATGTAAAATGTTTATTCGAATATAAAAAAATATTTCAATCTAGAAACTAATCAGTTGTAACAGCCATATCATAAATAGTTTAAGTCAAAATAAAGTTCAAGTTGTGTACATAAATTAATGATAAATTAACTTAGAGGTACACGACATGCAATTCGAATAGACCTCTCTAAGTGTGACATGCAATTAGGACAAACCCTTCTAAGAGATGGCATGGAATTCGATTTTTTTTTTTTTTTTTTTGCATGCAATTCGGATGCAGTCATATTTTTAGATATTTTTAGGACAAAATCCTATAAGCGTGGCAGGCAGTTGACGCTTAGTCAGTCAAAAATAATAATGTTGTTACCAATAATTTATAAATTTGTGTTAACGAATATTAAATTAATTTTCATTAATTAATACCTTCTAAATTATATTGGAAAAGTTTGTGCTTTGTATCAAATCTATAAGTTTTTAGGATCTGGGATTAATTGAAAACTTAAGCGTAATAAAAATAATTATAAATATGTATGTTTTGTTATGTCTATTAATGTTATTTATTATATAAAATAATTATTATAATTTTGGTTTTAATAACATGAGATGCTTTGTAAGAAAAAATGTATTCGAAAAAAAAAATTGGTTAGAAGGTCCGCAATTTCTAAAAATCTTTCATCGGAGGTCCGTAATTTACAAAAGGTTATGAACCGCTGATATGGTCGATAATATTTCAATATTTCAAGTCATATTTGACATAATTTTTGAAATTAATTAAATGCAAGCTAATTTACGATTCAGACCACTGTGCATTGTCACTCAATTAGTAAGTATATTAATGTTTTTACCAAAAGTTTATAAATTTATGTTATAAAAATAAAATACGAAGATTTTTAACAAAATAATATAATAATACATTTATATAGAATAACAAAAAATATTAAATTTAAATAAATTAAATAGGTAACATATTTCGATACGGCTAACGGAGGAGAGCACCTATACCCCCCCCCCCCATTAAATACACGCCTGATGTGTGTGTGTGTGTATGTGATGTACGGTAAAATACCAAAAACATATGTTTTATCGAGAAATTATTTCAAATCGATAGAAAACATACACCTAAAACAATTTAAACCGAAACGTTTCATATACGATTGTATATCTGTTCGAGACATTTTGAGCTGTTATGCGATAAATAATTTAATTTCAAGTGTTTGAAAAAAAAACTACTATTCAGAGTATCCGAGTAAGACGCACATTTAATTATTTGCAATAGTAATGTATAATATTATGTTAATCAATTTAATAATCGATCTTATACATCTGTATATTATTAAAAACAAATATAAAATTAGGTGAATAATAATAAAAATAAATGTAATAATTATTATAATACTTGGTATGAATAATTAACATAAATAAAAAAAATCGTGATTTTATAATTTAATGTATACAGAGTGTATCACAAGACATTTTTTGAATGTATATTATTATTTATACCGATTCCCAAGTTAACACCCTTTAAGCAGTGTATTTCATCAGTCGAGAATGCAATTACTTCTTTATTATTCAATCTTTTTATTTTTATTTTTATAAAATATATATTAAGGCAATGCTCCACGTATGGTAATATCATTTTAATATTGTAATCATCGAATCTGCTAGTTACATTAGGTTTTTTTATTTTTATATATACCTATACATATTACTAGTTTTTAAGTTTTTATTTTTTTTATGAAATTAAATCATAATTTATTCGATAAGTTAAAATCATGTTAAGTATGTTTATGTATAATTGTTTTGTTTTTTCTATTTGTTCCAACTCGAAATGAAATGTTATCGTCTTCGGGGTATCCGATTCAAACGCGTACCTGGGCTTTCGGAATCTGGAGAATTCCGTGCAAACCGTGTGCGAATTAGCGGTGGCCGTGGTGGCGGTGGCGGCGGCCGTGGAGACGGCGCCCGCGTTGTTTTGTTGCACGTGCTGCGGCGTGCTGGAAACGGACGCGGGGCAACTCTCCCTTTTCCCGATTGGTTTGTGGTGCCGGGTGGACGACGGCGGTGACCCGTACCGCACGAAGTCACCCAGGTTGCACACGCCGCTGGCGGTGATGGAAAAACTGCGTAGTCGGTACTCCTCGAGCGCTGGACCGTCCGGTCTGGGCACGTTCCCGAGACTAGGCTGAAACGCACAACATCAACAATTGTCAATTATTAGTCAAATAAATAGTCGTAAGACTCTCTAATTGTGTTCGCGTCACATAGTGTTACATTTTTCTTACACAGGACCGTGACATGTGTTGGTCCTAGCATAATTTTTAAAAGGTTTTTTTGAACCGTTTATGGGAGAGTTGAAATTTTCATGGTTTCTTAGTTTTTTTTCGATACAGATGCACTATTTTGAATAGAGGTGCAACTAGGATTTATTTCCAGGAAGAGGTGAGTTATACACTTCGAAAATATTTAATTTCGGAAAGTGTTCGGTGGGAAGAATGGGGTGAGGTTGATTAATAACTATATAACCAACTATAGGTATAAATATGGTGGTGGGGGCTTAGCCCCCTAAAACTAATTATTTCACTATGTGTTTTATTATGACGTAAAATCATCCAGTGTAGACTGATTTCAAAATCGATTTTTGCACTTATGAAACTAACAATTATTTGCTTTGAAATTGAACTCGATTTCCTATAAGACCCTCAAAACCTTTGTTTTGGACACCATGGAAATGCACGTGGAACTAATCACAAAGGTGAGCTTGAGTGGTCTTGACATCACTCCCGACCATCTCTAAAATAGTTCACGATTCCTTTAAAATAAATATTATTTTCAATGAACATTACCCTCGTATATTTCTACCGATCTTCTGATGTCACTAAATTTAAGTTAGGAATTAAATATTTTAGTTTTGAAATGGATTATTTGAGAAATAGTGAAACATAATAACTCACCGACACTAGATCGACTCTAGCGGAAAAAATCGTATATTATGCCAAATGTTAAGAATATTAAGCCAAAATGGATCCAATGTTTATATTTTAACTGCCTATACATCGGGTCTCCATAATTTGGTCATTAAGAGTTATCATTTAACACCGTCCAACATTTATTATTAACGTCAGATTTACATTATTTTCGTTTTAACATCATTAATTTCAGTTTATAGTCTAAATTAAGGTGGATAGATAAATATACAATTTTCATGAGAAAAAAAAACTGCGTTGTTATAAACACATGTAAGTACATTCAATTTTACGATATTTTTATTTTTATTTTTTTTTGTTCTTTTAATACAGACAATTCGATTTTGTTGTTAATATTTTGCCGTTTTCAAACTTGTTTACATCATGTAATTTTATTTAATACACCGATATATAATACTGGATTTAACCATTTTAAACGATTATATCGCCAATGAAATAATAAAAACACTGTTCCTGTTATGTTTTTTGTTTTTTTTTTTTATCATTGTAGGCGACATTAAAAACTTTCCTGTCCATGTCAATCTATACGGCACTGGTAGCAGCGAATTTTATTTTCTCGGAAGGGTTTTATACTATACTTGACAAAATATACATATGTTGCTCTCTGTTCGTTTATATTCACCCCGATAAGTTTTTCATGGACATTTTTGAACATCAACTCGTAAGCACATCAAAACACACATAGGTACCCACACGCAATATTATTCATCGTGAAACCGACAGAAGCGATATTGAAAACGCTATTTACATGTACTTTTATCTCTCTAAAAACCATGTTATATTTTACGATATTGTAATTGATGTTTTACTACGTATTATTGAACCGCATAATATGTGTTTTTCTCTGTACTGCAGCTGTCGTGCAAATCTGTCAACTGCTGTTTGTAGTTTTCGAGCGGAATCTGTGTGTAGTCGTTCCTATCTGATTTGTTTAGTATTCAGAATATTAATATAATTCAAAAATTATGATAAAGTTGAATTTCTAGTTATGTTTATATGGTTTCTTGACTCATTTTGATATGTTTTTTTTTTATGAAATTCAAGGAAACACATGATTTATTTTATTTTTATTTTCCTTTACCATTTTATTAGTAAGTATTTAAGTAAAAATGATTTTAAAATAATTTCGTTAAATTGTATGTCTTTCGAAATGTTCTTACATTTATTAAAAATATTTTATATTTTGCCCAAGAAAGGAATCAAAATTAAAAAAAAAAAATCATGAAGTTACGTGTTCTTTGATATTCAAAAAAACACAAAAATTGTTTAAGAAATAATCTACAAATTTATTCAAGTGATCACCATGGTGATATGAATTGTGTGTATATCTATAGATAAATGATAATATAAATTAATTTGACGTGTATATATTATTATTTAATACTATTGATATGCCGTTGTAAATAATAAATATCTAATAATAATAATATAAGGTAAGATGCAATATATTTTACGAATTTAAGATTTATTAAATATTCTATAATCTTCTTTCTAATTATAATTAGTACAATAGTAAGGTGAATAAAATCTAGAACTTTGTTACAGTATTGGTAGTCTTTGGAAATTACATGTCTAGGGGTTTAATGTTTAGAGCTTTAAAGTAATGAAAATTTCATTGGGTCCCACACTTCTGTTAACTCTAGTTTTATACCACGTTGTTCAAGTGGTGTATTCATTTTATTCAGATATTATAAACTTAAGTTTGACGAACTTAAGTTTGATCCTCAGTCAGATAGGTTGACTACGTTATAGATATACGAATTTCTAGTTTTAAAAGAAAAAACTTTCATACTTGATATGAATTTATCATTATCTTTAAACTAAAACTATTATACAAAAAGAAAGCATACCTAATTCTATAAATTATTTTTCAAATTATGGTTTTTTTTAAATTTTTTTTTTTTACAAAAATAATAAATATTTATATAATTTTTTTTTTACCTATTTCGTTATATATCAGTAAATTTTAAACTATTTATTTGTTATTTGAATTTTAAATTGTTTATTGTTTATAATATTAGTGAATTGTTAGATTGATTTGAGAAATTTAACAGTCCTTTCAGCAGCGATATTGATTCTCAAACAGGAAAACCGTTTGTGTTTTGAAAGAATAAAGAAGTTAAAGTAGTCTTTAATTTGACTAGAGGTAGATATCGAAATTCTTTGAACTAGTGTAATGTTGAAAGGAACAAAAGAATGAATTACAATTAGCTGGTATTAAAAGGAACCTTTTAAGTTGTTCTTTTCAAAGACTTATGTTAATGTAATTCAAACAGTCCAAGTATTTTATTATTTTATTTGATACATATTAAACATTAAAAAGTAAATTATGTAATAATTAATATACTATTATTATTGATTAGGTTAGATTAACCTAACCTAACCTACATACAGTAGAATATCGATTATCCGAACCACCGTTATATGAACCCTCTATTATCCGAACGTTCTTATATCTGAATGTCAATGCGTAATATATCATGTGAAATCGTTAACCGTTTTTTCTTTGAAAAATCAAAGTGAGAATGAAGAAAGTGACGACAGGCGGTTGTGTCGAAAGTAAGAATATACACGGACAATCATCTACGGAGGCATTTGATGTATTTGAGATTGGTCATGAGTAGTTAAAGATATAGGATGAATACTGTCCAGCATAATTACTTTTATTAAAAAGTTTGCTAAATTTAGTTACGCAAAAGTGCGTAGCAGTAATTCGTCTAACAAAAAATGATCAATTTGTAAAAAAAATAATAATAATACATTATAAGAAGTCAATAATAATGAATATTATTCTCATATTCGTAATAAGTAACAACATAATATGTAATATGTAATAATAAATATAATAAGTCAATTATATGTAATAATAATTTTTTATTCATTGTAATAATAATACTTTTTTTAATTTATATTATCCGAACTTTCACCTATCCGAACTCTGCGTGGTCCCAATTACTTCGGATAATCGATGTTTCACTGTACGAGTACCTATAAATCGTGTATATAACTAACGCGTAAGAGTAAAATAGATATTTTTAAAAATATTTTCGCGCCAGTTTTTATATAAAAAATTTCCCGAGTCAGCAAATTTGTATGAATATCAAATTAGTTTCTGCACGATTTTAATTGAAAAATAACGCGTCCGAATTAACTCCAATGAACGCTTATCGAGATAAATTTATCGTCAAAGCAGGTAAAATTATCTGAAGAGTCGTAGTCCGTCATAACAGCATATTCTATGTCTATTTTGTGCACAAAATTTGTAATTCTATTCAAAGCAAACGTAATGGTAACATTCATTTGACTCTGTACGAATAATTAATTACGAACATGGTTTGTATCAATATATGGTTGAAACGTTTTGCCGTGATTCGTCGTTCATCGAACCGTGTTCCATTAGTCATCGCATACTCAAGTGACGTATCCACGCAGAGAGCAGCGAGAATTAATATGATTATCATGATATTAGGCGTACATCGGTGTCGTGGATTGCATACTTATGCCCAGACTCTCGTTAATTATAGGAATGTAGACTATCAGGCATTTGCATTTTTATAGTACAGTAGAACTCAAATTATCCGGACTAATTAATGTCAAGGGTGGTCCAGATAAGCAAATATCCGGATGATTGACATATGATATATCAAAAGTTATATACACATCTGAAATAGTGGATGTTCCAACACCATACTTTTCGGCCAATGCTCGGCCTGTTTCGCCTTTTTTCAACCGCGCAATGATATCTACTTTTTCTTTCATAGTAAGCACTACACGTTTTCTGTTTGACGACATTGTAACACGACAATTCACTATACCGTGCGACGATTATACAACAACTGACTTACTAAGAATAATATCTATGTATGTGTGGCAATATTGTAAAATGTTATATGTATATGTATTTTATTATGGATAATTTTTAATATACCTACGTTGGAATGACGGATATTATTAAGAATAATATATATGTAGTACCTATTCTTTATCTAATCTAAAAACGATTATGAAACACGTGTATGAATAACGGCACGTGCCGTATTTTTCTCGTCCGGTTAATTGGACGTCCGGATGATTGGCGTTCGGATAATTGGAGTTCTACTGTACCTAACTAGTACACCAACTCTGCACGATACATGCAGTCGAATTTCAAACTTTTAAGTTTCCAATGTGGTTGTTTTGAAATTATATCGAATATTGA